CCTAGGCATAATCTATTACATATTTACATGGTGAGAAAAGATAACCATTCTTTCAGCTTTAGATTTGTCCTTTCCATGACATACAAGATGCTACTACCTAAGTTATCAGACGACATACAAGCTGGAAATTTACAGCTTGAGTTGCCTTCCTCCACCTCTGGTCTCTGCTCTTGCTACTACGACAGCACATGGAATTCCTTGTGGCGTTGGAGGAATTCCTAGCTTTGAGATGCTGCGGCCTGTCTAATCCGGAACCCATATGTTGGAGTATATTTTGCCATGGAGTAGATCTTCTAAAGCTATGTTGAAAGAAATAGATAAAAATGAAGGGAGAAAAAGAATAACGGAAAAAGAAGATGGCATGTACAAATCTGATGTAAGAAGAAGATTCGACAGGGAGGAATTAAGAAAGAATGAAAATGTGATGGCTGTCGGCGGATAAATCTAGGGTTAGAGTGGAGTAATGGGGGGAAAAGAATGAAAAAGGGTAAGTAAGGTATTTTACACAATGATTTGCCCAATAAGGAAATGAAAAGAAAACTTTCAAATGGTCCAAAAAGGAATGTGAGGAAAATTTCTGGACAGAGGGAGTTATAAGTAATGAAACCCTAGACTCAACTGTGGCAATGTATTATAAGCATGAATTGGATTTAATACAAGTTCATACTCTTCATAGTGGATCAAATCAGCTTATGCGCGTAGATTTGTAATGTAACGGCAGGTTGTAACGCCTTTTCTTTATATCAACTAAAATGCAGGATTCAATTCAACTTTGCGCCAGGGCAATGTTACTCACCACGAATACCTCCAGGTGACTAGATTCTCTCTCGCCGGTATGTGGGGGTCGTATTTCGCGATACTTATCAGCTAATGATATCACTAATGATGTTGTATAGGTTGGCAAGGGAAGAAATGTTGGACTCAATCAGATTGCTTTGTTTGAGGGGAAAGTTGCAGGTGGTAACGGGGAACAAGTCCTTAGTAGAGATGTCTACAGGCTTGGTCAGCTTTTTGATTTCTTCAGAATGCTATCGTTCTACTTCACAACTGTGGGATACTACTTTTGCACCATGGTACACTGTTCTTTCCAATGGAATGCATGTAGGGAGCGGCTAAATACACCCCATTAGTTTCTAAATACACCCAACTGTGGGATACTACTTTTGCACCATGGTACACTGTTCTTTCCAATGGAATACATGTAGGGAGCGGCTAAATACACCCCATTAGTTTCTAAATACACCCAACTCCTGCTCAAACTTGCAGAACACAACGAAAGCACTTGACCAACGCTAGCTTAGCATCTGTTTGGCAAGTGTTATTTGGACACTCCTCATTGACTTTCAACTTCAGTGATTACCAGAACACTCATCATTGTGTTAGGCTGTTAGCAGAGTGTTGGTCGCACAGTACTTCAGCAAACACTAGTGTTTTCTGACAATCTTAAATGTGCTAAATCAATGTTGCTAGATTGATTTTTTTT